CAAGCTTGCAATTATTTGAAATATGTCACCATATGTAGCTCTACTCCATGCAGACAAAGCCTGTTTTACCTTCTTGAGCTTATAATTGAAAAGAACAAAGGGGCTTTCACTGAAGTCTGCTTGCCAATTTTCCTTAACAACATCTTTAAATGATTGATGTTCAACCCAGAAGTTTAGAAATCTGAAAGGTTTCTTCACAGGAACATCTTTAATATCATACTTTAACTGCATAGGACTGTGATCTGAGCCTATCTTTGAGAGATGAGTGACTTCTATTTCGGGAAAGGTCTGCTAAAACTCAATGTTAGCTAGACATCTATCTGATCTCTTGAATATACAATCTTCTTCTGCCTCCCATTCCACCATGTGAAAACACTGCCTTTGAAGCCTAGATCAAAAAGATTACAAGTGTTGATGCAATTTCTAAAATCATCTATTTCATTTATTGATATTGGAAGTCCCCCAAACTTTTCTTCTTCGTCCCATATTACATTGAAATCTCCACCTACAACCCATGGCACATCCATGTCCCTTGACATTGCATATAAAGAGTCCCTTAATTCTATTCTCTCAATGGTATCACATTTAGCATATATCAAAGTAAGAACAATCTCCACATATGTTTCAGTATGAACAAGCCTTAAGGTCAGTTGTTGCACCATATTATACATAATTGTGACATCAAATACCTCATCAATGAACACCCAAATCTTGTTGGATATGTTTGAGATGGCCTGTGCAAATCCAATCTGCATTCCTTACCTTTCCAGCTTTGTAGCTTGTTGCATTGGTTCCATTTATCCTATGAATTCAAAATGATTTTGTCTATGCATTTTGATCAGTCTTTCAAATGCTTGCTGAGTGTTGACTGATCTTATGTTCCATATGAGTGCATCCATTATTGCGCAGTTGATTTGGTCAGTATTCTCCTCGTTTGTACACCACCAGTATTAGCAACAATGATGTCTTTTTGTTATTTTTTTTCCTTTAGCTGCTGACTTTGCCTGTTCCATAAACCTAGGATACAAGTCACCTTGTCTAGCTACATTTCGAAAATTCTGAGCTGTGGATTCTTGAACCATATCTTCGCCAGTTCTGTCACCTTCTTCATCTGCATCATTTCCTTCTGTACCTCCTAAGGTAGCCACTGTGTTTGTTTTGTGAGAATTAGGAATCATAGCCTGTTCCTCTCCTCTCTTCAATATTTTCACCTTAGATAAGTCCAAAGCAGCAGCTTCTTTATTTGTAGGCAATGTTTTTATCAATGGTTCCTTTCCCATAGTAGCATGTACTTGTGGTTCAGTATGTATTGCCTTCTCCCTTGTTCCCCCTGGATCTTCCTCTGTAGTACCAATTCCTTCTGGATTTTGTATGCCCTTTCCTTCATTTCTTGTTGCTTCATGCCCCTTCTCATGTTCATCTAATTCCACCTGTCATTGTTACTGTTCTCCTCATTGTTGTTCCTAACCTTAGCATTTGCCTCACCATTCACACTTTGTTCCTCTCCCTCTTGGTCAGCTTCCTCTGGTTCTTTATCATCTGGTGCACCATCTGGTACTACTATTGCAGCTGGATCTTCCTCTATTTGTTCAAACCATAGTCTACCACCCTGCCACTGAACTCTATCTTTCACCTTAGGGAAATCACCAAGGTCAGTTTCTTGATCAGGACTGTTGGCTAATTCTCTTTCCACCAAAGTGTCTTGAGATGGCATTTCCTGACATGATGTATTGATTCCTACTGCATTTGCCTTAAAAGCTCTTTGCACCCAATGAGCTGTTGATTCTTTAGCCTTTGTTGTGTCAGCTTCCCTTCCACTTGTATTGACATCTACACCTCCATTAGTTGAACCAATTCCAGCAGAGTTGGGATTAAAAACTGGAGCTGCTGGGTTCAGACTTCCAGTCTAATTGGGAGTATGTGTTTTATTTTGAGGGGGTGGCATTTGTTTTCCAATTGCTGCAAGACTTGGCTGCTTCACCAATACTATCTGATTTTCATTGTTTTCCTCATCATCAATTACTTCTAATACTGCAAACTTGTTTCCTACTTGAACCTGATTGTTGCCTCTTTGATCAGATGGAACTATTCATTTCCCAGTACCACCTTGAACCTGATTCAACTATCCACCATTCTTGTCATTAATTCCTCCATCACTTTGTTGCTTTCCACCTTGTTGCACTGGAATAATTTCTTTCCCAGTGTTCCCTTGAGCTGTAGTCTAGTTATCATTCTTCCTAGCTCTATTGTCTTTTACTTCTTTCCACTGCCCCTTATTGTTTCCTGATCCATTGCCCACCACTTTGCCACTAGAAAGAATCATTAGAGGTTGTTGATTGGAATTTGGTTTATTAGCTTCCTTCACAGCCTGTTTTGAACTATCTCTTTCCACATACAATTCTGGATGAATTCTCCAACATTCAAATTCATCATTCCCTTGTAATTTGCAATTTTTGCAATATTTAGGAAGCATATAATATTGAATTTTCACCCATTCACTCCTCGTTCCACCTGTTGCTTCATCCACTATATCCATCCTCACCTTCTTAGGCAAATCAGCAAGAAGATCAACTAAAGCTTTAACCCTTGCACAACTAGGTCTGATTTTGTTGACTGTGGCCATATCTAGGTGTAGAGGATTCCCAACTGCAGCAGCTAGAGAAAACAAACATTCCTTCACAAAGAAGGTAGGTAATAGACCTGGGAATGAAATCCAAGCCATGGCTTTGGGTGTTTCATCTCCTGCCTTAAATTTTGAATCATAAATTAAAGGCCTAAGTTGATACTCATACCCATTCTTGTCCTTGATCCAATGAGCATTCTTCGACGTAAAAGTCATAAAATCTTGCCATAAAGTCATTCTTATCAACACATGCCTATCCATTAGGAGTCCAATATTACAGTCACCTTTGATACCACATTGCATTGGGATTAACTTACGTAGCTGCTGCAGTTCTGGACTTCTATATGATAGCTTTCCAACTATGGCATATTGTAGCCCTTCAAGCACGTTCATTCTCTCCACTTCGGCTTCTGTAAACTGCACTACATGCTCGCCATTCAATACTGTTGGTCTACGCATAGGGATTGGTTCCACAGTAGAGTTTTGTTCGTGCATGGCACTGTTCAGCGTGCATGGCTTAAACAATTTCGCATAATCCATGGTTGTAGGGTCTTTCTTTGATATCGTGGGGGGATGTTCGATCTTGGGGGGGGGGGGGGTAAGGAGGCAATCCAGCCGGTAAACCAGGCTGGCCGTCGGCCGGCGAGGCCATTAGGGCACTTTCTCTCTCTAATCACCCAATAATCGCCTATTTTCGCCAGAGCCTCTCTCTCTAAGCAATTTTTTCTTTTATATAAAACTAAATACTATGAGTGAAACTAATTTTTTTTGTATTCAAATGTTATAATACTATAAATATAAATATACTAATTTACTTTAACCTAAAGATGAAAAATATTTTTTGTAATTTTTTTATTTTTTGTGATAAAAATAAAGTAAAAGAGTCAACACTATTTAGAATAGCGACACTAAACTAAATTAAATATTTACGCTAAAATGTGTAAAATCTTGGGGAGGGTCAAAAATTACACGTCCACATATGATACTTATGTGTTTTAGAAAGAATTTCTATAAATTGGGCTGAATGCCATATTTGGGCCTTGTGCCAGAGCTGTTTGGACCGTTAGGGGCCTTTTCTTATTATCCTCTCGCTGTTTTGATTGAAAATCTATAGTCTGTCATACTATGCTTATTGATTTTGTAACTTAGTCTTTATTACCCCGTTTTGATGCATATAAAATGTTATATTGGGCTGAGTACCCTGTTTTTACTGATAGCCCGAGTGGCTAGAGATGTTTGTGACTGAGTGAGGTCGAGGTCCCGTTTATCTGAGGAAATTATGGGATCGGGCTGCACGCCACAACATGTTGTTACTGATTCCTAATTGAGTGAGGCCGAGGGCCTGATTGATTTATGCCACGAGGTGGCTTATTATAGCGCTTGGGCTGTAGGAGCCCCTTCGGAGTCTGCACACCCCCAGTGAGCGCGGGTACCATGAGTGAGTTAGAGTAGATATGCCCGAGGGGCTGTATACGAGTGATTGTGAGGTTTGCCCGAGGGGCTGTGTATGAGTGATCTTCTGCCCGAGGGGCTGCTATGAGCGATGTTTTGCCCGAGGGGCTGTTTATGATTTTCATTACTTTTACTCTCTTTTGCATTGAGCCTCTGTTGAAAAATATCTTCCAATGATTTTTACTGAAAACTGGATTTTTAAACTTGATGATTTGACTCACACACTGATTTGAAAGCATGTTGTATTCACTGAGATTTCATGATGTGAACTTTATGTGTTTTACTACTCGTCACTACTGCTCAGTCTTTATTTACCTTTATTACTTACTGAGTTGGCGTACTCACATTACTCCTTGCACCTTGTGTTCAGATCCAGAGGTTGCTAGACGTGCTAGCGAGTGTTGATTTCATCCGTCGCGGATCTGTTGGAGTTAGCAAGGTAGCTGCACGGCGATCGCAGCCCTGCTCTTCTCCCTCCTATCTTCCTATAGATGTTATTAGTTGTTTTCCAGAATGTATTGGTTTTAGTATTATCAGACAGTTCTTAGTAGATGCTCATGACTAGTGACACCCCCATGTTGGGCTTTTCTTTCCGCACTTTGTTATTTAGATTTATCTTATGAAGTTTTATTAATTAAAGGCGTAATGACTTCCTGGCCACTTAAACTTGTAAGGCTTTTGAAAGCCGATACACAAACTTTGGACTTTCCCATTTAAACACTCAAACTCGTAAAACCCTTAACTAATAAACACATTTGACCCTTGACACTACACACGTGTATTACACATTCACAGACGTGTCCATCCAGTCAACAAATGACCAATGGGAGTGTTACACGTCAAGGGCGCAAAAACAAACCCCATAGCTGTGCTGGAATAAATTTATTAATTTCTACTATTTCTTCTATTTCCATTATTTTCTTCTTCACCATAACTGTGCAACTTTTACCTGATGGGGATGGAGCAAAATGATGTCACCAAAAATGATGACGCTGCCTGAATCGTCCAACATCTTTGCAAACTCCAAACCTTGTTCTCTGTTGCTACAAACTTCACTACAGATCTCAACGAATTTAGTGTACAAAATGGAGTTAATCGACATATCTCTAAGTCTCAATCTCACTTTCTCCAATTGATAAAACCTCAAAATTTTCCTAGCATCATTCACTGTAATTCTCTCCATCGTCTCCTCCAAAAAATCCGCCATCTCCGTCGTCGGAGCCGGTGGAGCTCCTTCAAATCTAATCCTTTCTCCGGTAGCATTCATAAACCTTAATTTTTCTCTCAATTTATCTCCCATAGGAATTGATAAAACTTCCGGCAATCTAGCTGCATGGTTGATTTCTCTTTTTTGGAGGAACCGGTGGAATAAGGCAGAGTCAATAAACCCAGCCACCATTTTCTTCTTCTTTTTTGGTTTTCCTTATAGTTTCTGTTTATTTTTTTTGATTTTACAATCTTTTTATTGAATAGTAACAGATACACACGCCATTTGAATGTGACTTGTACGCATTATGTCCACGTAAGATAAGCTACCGCCACATAAGTATAGTCAATGGTCAAAGGAATTTATTAGTTATAGGTTTCATGAGTTTGAGTATTTAAATAGGAAAGACGAAAGTTTGTGTATCAGCTTTCAAAAGCCCTATAAGTTTAAGTGGCCACGAAGCCATTTCGCCTTAATTAAATAGCTTGAAGTAATCTCAAAATTTAAATATAGGGTTGTTGGTATAAGAGTCGTCTTGCCTAGTTCCACGATAGACGCCATCACGACATGGTAGATTTGGATCGTGACAAGTTTGTATCAGAGCCTAGGTTACATAGGTCTCACGGGTCATGAGCGGGTTTAGTAGAGTCTTGTGGATCGGTACGGAGACATCTGTACTTATGTTCGAGAGGCTGCAGAACCTTTAGGAAAACTTCACATTCTTCAATTCTTGTCATGCAAATCTGTTGATTCTAGTAACTAAACTTCTGTTATTCTATTCTCTCACGGATGGTGAGGACACGTGCTACCGGTCAGGACAGACGACCACCAGTACCACTAGTTAGGGCCACGAGAGGCTGAGGTCACGGTCGAGGCCGCGGTAGGGGCAGGGGTGTAGCCCGCACAACAGCTAGGGCAACACCTATATATCCACCAGCCGCCCCATTTCATGATCAGGTCCTAATTATGGATGCTCCAGCGGGACCAACCCAGGCACCGGCTGTGCCTATCGTTATCCTAGGTCTTTAGGAGACATTAGCTCAGATCTTGACCGTGTGCACGAGTCTCGCTCAGGCGGTCGCTGTTTCTACTACATCAGCTACTTTCCAGGTCGGGGAAGGCACTCAGACTCCCGCCGCCCGTACACACGAACAGATTGCTCAGGGACTACAGACACTGGAGGCACCACCGGCCCAGCCGGTTGCACCTGCTCAGGATTATGTGGTACCTCTCATGCCTGATGATGAGCAGCGTAGATTGGAGAGGTTTGGTAAACTTCAGCCTCCGACTTTCAGTGGTACAGTGGGCGAGGATGACCAAGGTTTCTTAGACAAGTGTCAGAGGATTCTTCGTACAACGGGTATTCTGAAGACCAGTGGGGTCTCATTCACTACCTTTCAATTCTCGGGAGCTGCCTTTACTTGGTGGGAGGCTTATGAGAGGTGTAGGTTTGTTGGTGCTGCGCCCCTTACCTGGCAGCACTTCTCTGCTCTCTTTCTGGAGAAGTATGTGCCGTAGTCCCGTAGAGAGAAGCTGCGCAGGCAGTTCGAGCAGTTGCATCAGGATGATATGACTGTGATGCAGTACAAGATATGGTTCTCTGAGTTAGCCCGTCATGCTATCTGGTTGGTTCCCACAGACAGGGAGAGGATTAGGAGGTTCATCGATGGCCTCTCATATCAGTTACGGATTCTTATGACTAAAGAAAGGGTGGCTGGTGCTTCTTTTAAGGAGGTTGTTGACATTTCTCAGGACATAGAGTCGATTATCCGTTAAGAGCAAGTGGAGAGGGAGGCCAAGAGGTCTCGTGGATCCGGTAGTTTTGGGGGTGCTCCTCATGGGGGTCAGTTTTAGCACGGCAGAGCCCGTCCATTCAGACATGCTCAGTCCGCTCTCCCAGTTCACCGTCTGGCATCATCGGGCCATGGTTCTCACAGTTCTCATCAGGGCCATTCATCACTTAGTACCCAGCACAGAGTTCGTCCCGTGCTCCATCAGTTTAGGGCTCCTCCATGGCAGGTTCTTCTACTAGTCATCTCGGTGCTAGGGTTTCACTTCAGTCCCCGTCACCAGCACCAGGGCATTTTTATGAGTGTGGGGAGTTGGGGAATATATGGAGGCAATGTCCTTGTCGTCATGGGGGTCCGCCTCAGAAGAGGAATCAGCCATCCACTTCAGTACCTGTGACTTCACCACCCGCCCAGTCAGCTAGGGGTGGAGGACAGCTGGCTAGGGGTCGCCCTAGAGGGAGAGGTCGATCAGGTGGTAGTCAGGCCCATTTCTATGCACTCCCAGCCAGACCAGATGTTATTGCTTCAGATGTTGTGATCACAGGTATTGTCTTAGTCTGCCACAGGGATGCCTCTGTATTATTTGACCCTGGTTCCACTTTTTCATATGCGTCATCATATTTTGCACATTATTTGTATACGCCCCGTGAGTCTCTTGTTTCATCTGTACGTCTATCTACCCCGGTGGGCGATACTATTGTTGTAGACCGCGTATATCGGTCTTGTGTGGTGACTATTGGGGGTTTGTAGACCCGAGTGGACCTTTTGCTGCTTAGTATGGTTGATTTTGATGTGATATTGGGCATAGATTGGTTGTCTCTATGTCGTGCTATTCTGGACTGTCATGCTAAGACGGTGACGTTGGCTCTACCAGAGGTGCCACGGATTGAGTGGAGAGGTTTGTTGGATTATGTTCCTAGTAGAGTGATTTCATTTTTAAAGGCCCATCAGATTGTTGGGAATGGTTGTCTTCCTTATTTGGCTTTTGTTAGGGATGTCGGTGCAAAGACCCCTTCCATTAAGTCAGTTCCAGTAGTGAGGGACTTCCCGGATGTGTTTCCTGCATACCTGCCGGGCATGCCACCGAACAAGGATATTGACTTCGGTATTGATTTGGTGTCGGGCACTTAGCCCATTTCTATTCCAGCATATCGTATGGCACCGGCGGAGTTAAATGAATTGAAGGAGCAGCTTCAGGAACTCCTTGAAAAGGGGTTATTTGGCCTAGTGTGTCACCTTGGGGTGTGCCTGTCCTATTTGTGAAGAAGAAGGATGGCACTATGAGAATATGCATTGACTACAGGCAGTTGAACAAAGTCACAATCAAGAACTACTATCCTTTGCCTCGTATTGATGATTTATTTGACCAGCTTCAGGAAGCGAGAGTGTGCTCCAAGATTGATCTCAGGTCAGGGTATCACCAGTTGAAGATCAGGGACTCAGACATTCTTAAGACAACTTTCAGGACCCGATATGGTCATTATGAGTTCCTTCTGATGTCTTTTAAGCTGACCAATGCCCCAGCAGCATTCATGCATTTGATGAACATCGTGTTTTGCCCTTATCTTGACTCGTTTGTTATTGTATTCATTGATGATATTCTAGTGTACTCACGTAGCTAGGAGGAGCACGCTGAGCATTTGAGAGTTGTATTGCAGCGGTTGAAGGAGGAGAAACTTTATGAAAAGTTCTCCAAGTGTGAGTTTTGGCTCAGTTCGGTGGCGTTCTTGGGCTACGTGGTGTCCAGTGAGGGCATTCAGGTTGATCCGAAGAAGATAAAGGCGGTCCAGAGTTGGCCCAGACCATCCTCAGCCATAGAGATTCGTATATTTCTTGGTTTGGCGGGTTATTACCGTCGGTTCGTTCAGGGATTTTCATCTATTGCATCACCGTTGACCAAATTGACCCAAAAAGATGCTCCTTTTAGGTGGTCGGATGAGTGTGAGGTGAGCTTTCAGAAGCTCAAGACCGTCTTGACCACAACTCCAGTGTTAGTTTTTCCATCAGCTTCAAGTTCTTATACGGTATATTGTGATGCTTCTCGGGTTGGTATCGGGTGTGTGTTGATGCAGAAGGGTAGAGTGCTGCTTATGCTTCTCGTCAGTTGAAGCCCCATGAGAAGAACTACCCTGTTCATGATTTGGAGTTGGCTGCCATTATTCACGCGTTGAAGATTTGGAGGCATTATCTCAAAGGTGTGTCTTGTGAGGTGTTTACTAATTGTCGTAGCCTCCAGCAGTTGTTCAAACACAAGGATCTCAATTTGAGACAGCGGAGATGGTTGGAGCTGCTAAAAGACTATGATATTACTATTTTGTACCATCTGGGAATGGCCAATGTGGTGGCCGATGCCTTAAGTAGGAAAGCGGTAAGTATGGGCAGTCTTGCATTTATTCCTGTCGGGGAGAGACCTTTTGTGGTTGATGTTCAGGCTTTCGCCAATCAGTTTGTGAGGTTGGATATTTCGGAGCCTAGTCGGATCCTAGCTTGTGTGGTTTCTCGGTCTTCCTTGTTTGATCGTATCAGAGAGCGCCAGTATGATGATCCTCATTTGCTTGTCCTCAAGGACAGAGTTCAGCACGGCAATGCCAGAGATGTGACTATTGGTGATGGAAGGGTATTGAGGATGCAGGGCCGGATATGTGTGCCCAATGTAGATGAGCCTCGGGAGTTGATTCTAGAGGAGGCCCATAGTTCGCGGTATTCCAACCATCCGGGTGCCACGAAGATGTACCAGGATTTGAGACAACACTATTGGTGGAGGAGAATGAAGAAGGATATAGTGGGGTTTGTAGCTTGGTGTCTCAATTGTCAGCAGGTGAAATATGAGCATCAGAGACCGGGCGGTTTGCTTCAGCAGATAGATATTCCAGAGTGGAAGTGGGAGCGGATCACCATAGGTTATGTAGTTAGACTCCCACAGACTTTGAAGAAGTTTGATTCTATTTGGGTGATTGTGGATCGGCTGACCAAGTCCGCATTTCATTCCTGTGTGTACTACCTATTCTTCAGAGCGGTTGGCTGAGATTTATATCCGAGAGATTGTTCGCCTGCATGGTGTCCCGGTTTCCATCATTTCAGATAGAGGTACTCAATTTACATTGTAGTTTTGGAGGGTCGTGCAATGAGAGTTGGGTACTCAGTTTGAGTTGAGCATAACTTTTCACCCTCAGATGAACGGGCAGTCCGAGCGCACTATTGAGATATTGGATGACATGTTGCGCGCTTGTGTCATTAATTTTTGGGGTTCATGGGACTAGTTTCTGCTACTCGCGGGGTTTGCGTATAACAACAGTTATCACTCAAGTATTCAGATGGCTCCATATATGGGAGACGGTGTAGATCTCCAGTAGGTTGGTTTGAGCCAGACGAGGCTAGGCTTTTGGGTACAGACATTGTTCA